CACTCTGTGTCCCCCCCTTAGGGGTTTCTGGATCCTGGCCTGGGGAAAACCTCTCCTCTCTAGTCTCCCCAAAAGATGAGCAGTGCCAGCCCCTCCAGGTGGCACAGCTCTTTCCAACTGGCCCAGCTCTTCTCCCTCCCCTCAGAGCCTCTGGTTATAGCCAGAGAAGCTGAGTCAAGAAATGTCGCACAGCCAGAGGGATAAGGTGCCCCAACCTCCGGCCTCCAGCTGCCAGCTCTGCCAGTCTGCTGCATGGACGGGGGCCATCTAAATGCAAGTCTGACGCTCAGCCCTGGGAGCTGGAGCTGGAGGTCAGACCAGCAACAGCCTGACTCATCAGCGTCTCTGGAATATCAATGGGGGACACAGGGACACAGCAGGGAGATGAGGCTTTAGAACTTTCCATTGTGCGAGGGACAGGATGTCCTCCAAGGAGCAGGCCTGAGCCCCCTACACCCCTTCCTGCCACACCCAGAGAGGCCATCTTATTCCCACCCTAGAAGCACAGGCCTGGATGTGACTGAGGTGCTGGAATCACTCACTGGAGGGGACCATAACCAGACCCCCAAGGTGACCCCATGGAGAGGCCCCTGCCAAGAGCTGACCTGTGTCCTTACCTGCCACATGTGCCAGAGATGGGGAAGCTGTGCTGGATTCAAATTCCACTACTGCTACTTTCCAGCTGTGTGGCCTCAAGGGAGTTACTTAACCTCTCTGAGTCTCAGTATTGCCATTAGTATAACGGGGCTATCTTGAACGATAAGTAAATTAACATATATGAAGCACATAAAACTGGGTCTGATCTACAGGAAGGCTCCATAAATGGTACCTACCAATATCATCCATTCTCCCATCACCCACATAGGAGCCCTGGGCTCTGACACCTGACACTTCCCTGTGACCTTAGGCAGGCCCCTTGACTTCCCTGAGCCTTGGTTGTCCTCATCTGTGAAATGGAGGACGAGTACAAGTAAACTGAGGCTCACACAGGGTCCCATGGATATGGAAAGACTGTGAGGGTATAAAAGTTTACACTCCAGACCCCAACCCCTGAGAGCACACAGGACAGTGGCGGGAGGCACTGATGGCAGGGCCCCACCTGTGCCACCCCCTCTAGCCTGTCTCTCCCTCCAGGGTGACTCACTCACATCATCTCTGGAGCCCAGGCGGGGCCTGCTCCGCATACCTAATCCCAGCCCTGGTGGCCCCTCGCCTTTCCCTCCAGCAGCCTATACCTAGCAGGGAGGAGGGAGTCTTGCAGCCAGAAGGCCGTGCATATCCCATAGATTGGGAGATGCACCCGATACCTCACACAAGCAAACACATGCACACGACCTGCCACAGACACTCCTACTGGGGCAGGCCCATCAGGCACACGTCTGGAAAATTACATAGTGCCCCCCTCCCCACCACACACACACACATACGTCCTGTCCTGGCTGCCTCTGGGGCTCACCTCACTGCTCTCTCACCATCAGATCAGCTGTCCTGTAAGAACCAGGCTGGCCGGGGCTCCTGTGGTTTTGTTCCTAGTCCTGCCCCTGGATGCGTTCCCCTCAGGCCTTCCAGCACTCTCCAAGTGTCCCCAGGAGTGGCTGACACCAGCCAGTCCAGGCAGCCAGACCCCTAATAATAACCCTCCCACGTGTATCCCAAGAACCCACCTCCGTGGGCCAGGAGCACGTTTTGTTCTGATAACAACCAGTTTTATCCCCATTTCACAGATGACAAAACCAAAACCAAGAGAGGCTGAGTGACTTTCCCAGGATCATGCAGCCAATAAGCGGCTGAGGTGGAGCCCAGGTCTGTCTGCCAGGCCTGTCCCTTATCTTTGCGCTGCTCTCCCGGTGATGTGAGCTGGGGGAGACAGAGAGTGTGGGGTAGAAGAGTCTGGGTCTGACTGCCTCGCTCCAAGTCCTGCTCTCACACCTTGCTGTGTGAGCCTGAGCAAGCCACTTTACCCCTCTGAGCCTCAGTTTCCCCATCTATAAAAGGCGGACAAAACACCAGGCCACAAGGTTGTCACCAGGATTCATGATATGCAGTGAGGGTCTTGGCATGGGGCAGAGTTCACAGGATGGCTCAAGACATAATCCACATGACTGAGTGACCAGGGTGGGAGGGCATGGTGCTGATGGGGACCGGGAAATGTGACGCCAGGACTTTCCTTAAGCTCCCCACCCAGAGGATAGAGCTGGGTTCCAATCCCAGCTCCTCCATGTTCTGGCTGTGTGGCCTTGGGGAAGTGACCTATCCTCTCTGGCCTCGGTTTCCTCATCTAGAAAAATGGGCATAATTATGCTCCCTGCAGGACCCAGAGTCCAGCACACAAGAGGCGCCCAGGCTTTGCTGGCCAAGCTCTCACCAGGGCTCTGACACGCATTCTTAGCCTGGTGAGTGTGCCCTCCCCTCCACCCTGCTCCCTGGCACTCCTCTGAGAAACTCACAGATGATTTATACTTCAGAGGACAAATCAATACAATATACAGCCAAAGACATCTTTAATCTTTCGCAGGGATTAGGCTACAAGGTACAGCGGCCCCTTTCTACTGGCCGCTCAATTCTGATTTCAATTTGGGCAGCTAGAGCGCGGCTTTCTCCTTTTCTTTTCACTCCCCTAAAGATGGTTCTCCAAATCAAATTTCATTCAGCGGGCAAGGTGGGGAGACCCAGCTGCCCAGTCAGGGCCCTGGGGCTGCACACCCTGTGAGGGGGTCTATGGATGTGGGAGGTCCGGCCGGGTGGGAGGCCAGGCCCTCAGCAATGGGATGGAGCACAGGGGGCAGGGGCACCATGAGGCGGAGGGCATACCTGTGCCAGGGCAGGTATGCCCTGAGCTGGAGGCCCAGGAAGAAAAGCTAGTTCTCTTATTTTTCTAGTAGTCCTTTTAAAAAGCTTGAGTGGACTTTATATTTTCCGACTACTCAATGCCCAATTAGATGCTTGCACAAAATTTAAACAATAGCTTAGCTTCAGCTGAAATGCAATGCCCAGACCTCACCCCAATTCCATGCCTCTCTCACAGTCCTTCCAGGCTGTGTGTGCGTGCGTGCGTGCGTGCGTGCGTGTGTGTGTGGCTGTCGTAACCCCATCCCTTGCACAGGGCTGGTCCCTGTGTGTCTCAGTTAATGCAGTGGGAAATGGGCAGAAGACAGAGTGACAAAATACAAAGCAGTTAAGACCTCTAGTCCTGGAGCCAGACTGCCTGGGCTCAAGTCCCTTCTCCACCTCTAACTTTCTGTGTGACCTGGTGCCAGTTATTATGTGGTCTCTCAGTATCTCACTTCCTTCCCTGTAAAACAGGGGCACCTACTTCCTAGCATAGGGTAGATTACCCCAGACTACAGGTGTAAACAGGGGATCAGCATGTGCTGGGCACGTAGGGAGGCTATGTGAGTACTGGGAGTGCTTCTCAAGTCCCTACAGAGGGACTGAACACTAAGATTCTGGACCACTGTCTCTGCCCCTGTAGCACCTTTGTTCCCAAATCCTACAGAGGTTGCACCTGAAACAGAAAGGCAGTGGGCTTGCTTGCAGAAGGATCCAAGCCATCAAGGAGGAGAGGAAACTGCAAAGCAGGATGGGTGGAGCCCAAAGAGGTGCCCAAGTCCAAGCAAAGGAAGAAAGGACATGCTAGAAGCCAGAGGGAGGGGTTGGGGTACCAGGGGTCTGACACTACCCTGCTGTCTGTCCATCCCCTGCTTCCTTCTTCAGGGGCTCAGCTGCTGGAGTGGGGAATGGCCTGGAGTCACAGCCATCAGTCAGCGCTGCCCCACTTCCACCACCCTGCTGCCCTCTCCACCAGTTTACAAGCACCAGGGCTGCTTCGGCTGTACAATTAAAGGGGCTTATCTGAGATTTATAGCAGGATTATGCCTGCAGGGTGTTACCAACGCCGGCCTCTGGACACTCTGTGGTCCTTAGGAAAAGCAATTAGAGTCCCAGGGTTATACGGGTATAAATATACAGATGCCATCCCCCAAGGTCAAGGGTATCACAGTGAGCTATTTAAAGACTGGGCCTTGGGAGAGGCCAGGAGGGGAGGCAGAGGGGCCCTCTCTGCAGGGAGGTAGGTCTGCCAGAAAAGGGAAGGGCCTTCCTGCTTCCCTCCACACCCCACACACGACAGGAGCCATCCCTCTGCCCCGCAGCTCTGAATCGGCCATTCCTCCTGGCTGGGCTCACCCAACCCAGGTGGAGCCCCCATCCCAGGCCTGTCTGCAGCCCTCGACGTCCACCACAATGGTCCCACGTGGCCTGTCCTCTCTCGGCACGGCCATCTGAACTGTCCCACTCAGAGGCCCAGGTTTGGCCTGCAATGGTGTTAACCGTTGTGTTAGCTTCTTACTACTTAAAAGATACTTAAAAGATTTATCACTAGAGCGCCTAAGGATGGTGGAGGAATGCAGGGAGCTTCGGAGGGGAAAGGTGGCATGCGCTAAGTGTGGCAGACCCGAGGAGAGCAAGTCATCTTCCCCCACTTCCCCAAACCCCACCCATGGAGCACCCACTCCACTGAAGCCAGCACAGCCCCACCCACCGCCTGCCCCTCACCCCCGCCAGACTGCTCAATTTTAAAGACTCTGAATTCCCAGTCCCTCAGACAAATCCTGGCTCCAAGAATCTGCTGGTTGGCCCCCTGGCTCCTGGGTCCCTGAGACCCCCTTGAACAAAGCCACTTCCATCCCCATCTCCTTCCCCTCCTCTCTGCCTGGGAACAGCGGCTGTTCCACCAGCTCCCATGACAGGAATACTGACAGTCCCTCCATCTGCCTGGCCACATCTGCAAAAGTCATTCACATCCACCCCCACCCCCAGGAGTCACCCAGCCGCCCGGAGGCCACAGGCTCAGAGGAGAGACTAAGGCCTATGAGGGGATGGCCCAGGCAGGACAGCCCACAGAAGGACCCGGAGAGTGGCTCTCGGGCAGTGCTCAGACACTGTGCCATGACATCCCCCATCCCCGAGAGCATGACCCTGTAGGCGGGCGCCTGACTCACCGTCCTCTCGGGACTTCTGGATGAAGGCTTCCACGCCGCTCTCACCGTAGCTGCCCTCCGAGGCCAGCGTGGACACGTAGTTCCACTTGAGGGCACGGACGATGTCCACCATGGCCTGGGCCTGGTACGTGTCCGAGGGCACCACGCGGGAGAAGAAGTCGTACCGGCTGTTGTCACTCAGGTCGGGGGCTGTGGAGGCGTAGCTGATCTGGGGGATCTGGGGGCGAGAGGGGCCGCTGATGGGGGCAGCTGGCACCCCACCCTGCCCAACCAGCACCAGCCCCTACACACCAACCTTCCTCCTGTCCCAGAACCTGGGGACCATCCCAGCCCTTCCCACAAGCACCACCTCCTCCCATCCTGGGGGAGACTACTTGACCTGGGCTGAATAGGTCCCAGCCCCACTTGACAGAGAAGGAAACTGAGGCCCAGAGAGAGTGGGCAAATGGTAGTTAGCCCTGACCCTGGATTCAGCCCAGGGTCCCAACACCCACCACTCAGCTGTCTGCTGATCGTGACCCTTCCCACGCCTCTCCTCACTTCCAACAGGAATGCGGCTGGAATCAGGGTGAGAAGTGAGTGGCACGTAGGCATCAAGTCTTCCTCCTCCAGAAAGTCTCCCAGGCTGCCTCACCTGGGTTTTGTGGCTGGTGGTCCCTCAATAACACACACATATACACCACAGAATCATAAGGGATAACACACTCCTGCACACACATATATACACACACCCCGGGAGCCTCTGGATGCCTCAATATATATAAAGAGCTGCAAGACCCTAGCCGGGGGAAAATCCCCAGGTGAGTGAGATGGTTGGCCCAGTGATGAGGGCTTATCTGATCCACCCCCTGCCAGAACTTTAGTCCCCATGGCAACTGAGGGTGGGAAAATATTCCAGGAGCAAGCGGATTGGGGGAGCTCCTGTATGTGTGTTTGCCCACCTGGCCTATGCCTAGGGTATGCCTATCCCCAGGGACATTGGGGGCCTACCTTCCAGAGGGGACACCCATTAGGAAAAGGGCCTGGTCCAGCTTAGCCCCATGATTCCCCCCAACGTGGGCCCTCAAGGCCCAAGTCCCTGGTACCCACAGAAATGAGGATGCGAATGGGGGAAACAGGTGACTGGCTTCCTAGATTTTCTGACTAAGGGTTAACTCCCGAGCCCTCTCATTGTCATTCTTGTGGTCTTTATAAAACGGTACATACTATGCTATTCACTATGTCACTATTAGGAAACAAGCTACGTGTCCGTCAGAAGGGGACTGGAGAAAGAAGCTACAGCCACACAAGGAATACCAGGCAGCTGCAAAAAAGAACAAGGCAGCTTTCCACGCCCTGCTCTGGATGGCTCTCTGAATACAGGGTAAAAATAACAGCAACAAAGAACGAAGTTGAAGGGTACAAACAGCATCAACAAAGAAGCAAGGAGCAGCTCCCTGTGCCAACAGCGCCCGGCTTACTGTACGAGGGGCGGCTGGCTCTGAAACAAATCAGGGGCAAAGTCCCTCCGGGGAGCAAACCAGGTGGCAGGAGGCAGGGTTGAGCGGGACCTTTCACCTTATACCCTTTGTATGTTTTCCATGTAGAACCACGCAAATACAGCACCTGTTTAGGAAGCAAACCCCACTGTAACGTTCACGTCCCTTTGTCTGCCCGAGTCAGCAGTGTCTGAACACCAGCCCAGCCCTCTCTCCCTGGAGAGCACTTAGCATGAAAGCAGCAACCCTTAAAATGTGGACTCTGGTTGGATATTTGATGAGCACTTTTAAAAGTATTGTTATTTTTAAGGTCTGATGATGGTATTACAGTTGCAGTTGGTTGGCTGGTTGGTTTTTAAGAGTCCCAGTCTCAGAGCAGGGCTTCCCAGGCTCGGCACTATGAGCACGTGGCGTGGGAGTGAGGTGTGATTCTTTGTCGGGGTGCTGCTCTGTGCGCTGTAAGGCCTCTAGCAGCATCCCTGCCCCACACCTACGAGATGCCAGTAGCGCACCCCTCCCCGTTATAACAATCAAAAATGTCTCTAGACATTGCCAAGTGTCCCTCGGGGGGCAAAGCTACGTACTGAACTACTTAGGGACAAAGTGATACAATGAGGCCTGGGATTTCCTGGGAACGTGTAGAAGTAATAACACACTGGCCAAGAGCTGACACCTGTTGAGTGGTGTGGCCGTGAGGGCTCACTGCCCTATTCGGTGTACTTTTGTACATGTCTGAAATGGCCACAGTTTTTAAATTTTGATGATAAAACAGAACAAAATAAACAGCGCCCCTGGGTCATCCCTCTGAACAGAAGCACCCTGAATCTGGAGCTGGAGCAGGCGGTGGAGACTGCGGGACCAGGACATACCCAACTCAACCTTCCTTCACAGCAGGTCCCCAGGAGAAGCCAGCGTGTTTGTTTGCTAGCTCACCTCTGCTGGTAGTAATCACACACCCGGAAACCTACTCTCCTCCTAATTAGAAGCAGTTCGTCTCCCACTTCTGACGTTTTCTCCCAGCACAGGCCCAAGGGCCCAGAGTCAAATGTGTCAGCTCAGAGGAGAGGTGGGAAGTCCAGACAGGTTCAGGGCGGGCAGCAGAAAGGGCCAGAGCCATTCACACAAGGCGACTTCTCACCCCTCAGTCCTCCTCCCAAGCCACCTCCCCCATCTCCTCCCGTTCAGGCACTCGGCCTGGGCAGGGACAGCAGGCGGACAGGTGGATGTCCAGATGCCAGGACTCAGAGCCTCCCCCAGTGAGCCCAGCCCCTGTCAGCAGTCTTCAGACCCAGGCCCCGCCCCTGCCCCCTGAAGACCCCCATTTCTGTAAAGGGTAGGAGAGCCAAGCATGGGGTTCCTGCAGGGTGTGTGTCAGGCTGCAGGAGTACCCTGGGCCCTGATTTCAGGAGCCCAAGATGAGCCCTTGTTCTGCCCCCAACAATTCCTGAGACCCTGGAACAGGGACTCTGTCCTGAAATGATGGGGTGGAGGAGTGATAGAGTCCAGGGGCTAAGCCAGCATCCTCTTACATGTCCCCTCTGCCAACTCCTCCCACCTCGCCCCCTGCAGTCTCCCTCCTCAGCTCCAGGCCCTCCCAAGGTTCCTAGGAAGATGAGTTCTAGCAGAGATTTGGGAACTAAACTGCTCAGGTTCAAATCCCAGGTCTGCCACCCATCAGCTGGGAAACCTGGGGCAGGTTACTTCACCTCTCTGGGCCTCAGTTTCCTTAGCTGCAAAATGGGAATAATTACAATCCCTTTCTCATAGGGTTGTGAGAGTCACATGTGGGAATTCACGAGAAATGTTGAGGGCAGTGCCTGGCAGGCAGTAAACCCTCACCGGTCAGCTCCGATGTGAGTTATTACCCCTCCCTCTGCACTTCCTCCTGGCAGCTCCCTCCTCTTGGCCATCTGACTTTGTTTACCTCCTAAGACTGTCCCCTCCCACCCTCACTTCTCTGTAGTCACACAGTTTCTGCTGTGCTTAGTGGGGACACCTCTTGGTGCTGGCAGGCCCTCCAAGCTCTAATCCCTCCTGTCCCCACCCCAGGCTGGAGTGGAAGGGGCAGAGGTGGGGACCGCCCTGGGGACCTCACAGGCAAGGGGGACTGTGACAGCCTGGCCCAAGCAGGGCTGTCCCTGTAGCTTTCATGGTCTCCGCAGCCCAGCTGAGCAGGAGGAGAGGCGCTGGATTAACATTCTCCTTAGAGAACATACCTCTCCTTTCACATCAGCACGAGAGCGGGAGGCCGCCGTGCCACCCTGCTGCCAGCTCCTCCATCTCCCTGCCTGCCTCCCTCCTACCGCCACCTAAATCTTTGAGAACCTACTGTGTGCCAGGCACTGTTCTAGGTGCTGGGGATGCCATATCTTCCTGTCGCCTGCTTCATGGGGCAGGAGTCAGCAAGAAGCCAGATTCCAGCAGCACCTGACCAACCACAGCTGTCCTAGTCTAGGTCCATCTGTCCGCGGGCTTCTCTTTCCTCTCTGCCTGCCTTCCTCTGCCCACAAAGCCCACGACCTCATCTCCCCACATCCAAATCTTCCTCGTGCATCAAGGCCCAGCTCAAAAGTCACCTCCTCCAGGTAGACCCCCAGGAGCCCTCATTTTCCAGAGAGCATGCTCAGACCTCCCACAGCACCAAGTCAGTCTGCTCCAGTACTAGGCATGTCCTCCTGGATGTTTGGACACTTGGTCTACTTATCAATTCAAAACGCATCTGAGGCACTCCATTATGCTGGGCAAGGTCACTGGAAAGACACCAAGAGGAGCTGGACTCATCTCACCCCCAAACCCAAGTCAACACTCACTGCATCCTCGGGGATGCCCTGGGGAGGAGGCAGGTGAGACGCCCATGAGTGGCACACAGTATGTCTGCAGCTGGCACCCAGTAGAGCCTCACACGTTCCAAAGTACAAAAGGGGTGAGTGACTGAAGGGGGAGGGAGTTCATGAATAAACTCTCTCTCTCCCTCTCGCTGGCTTCTGGAGTCACAAGGAGGTCCATGACACGTGGGAAAGACAAAAGCTGCTTCCAGGCTTGAGCAACAATGAAGATAAATGTCAAGTGTGTGATGCACATGTGCGGATGTGTGACGTGCGCGTCTGTGAGCACGTTCCGGAACATACGCCCTGAGCCCAAGAGTGCACAGCACACCCATTGATTTCTTCCTCTTACCAACAGTCACTGAGCGCCAACAGCCTGCCAGGCACAGTTCTGAGAGCAGGGACACTGCCCCAGGGGGCTCCCAATCTAGCCAGGGATAGGCGATGCAGAGCTGACAGATGGGGACAGAGGACTAGGAGGAAAAAGAAAGGGAGGTTTAGGGGACTACTGGGGAGAGGGGCCAGGGGTAACCCTCTGACAGGATGACATTTGAGTCAAGATCCCAAGGAGGTGAAGGAGGGAGCCATGTAGGTATTTGAAGGAGATCTTTTCAGGCAGATAAAACAGCCCGTGCCAAGGCCTGCACACATATGTACACGTGTGCATGTGTGTAAGCCTGTGTGTGCATGTGTGTGCATGCACACACATGTGTTAGAACCTACATCTGTCCTGGAGCTGTCTCAAGCCTGGCCAGCAGCCCCACACACCCACCCAGGCCTGGCTGGGGTGCAGGTGGTGCCCCAGGATGCCAACAGCTCAGGCTCTGGGACACTGGCTCCCAAACCAGCAGAATCTGAGGATGCCCCTGAGAGTGGCCAGTCCCTGTTCCATACCATTCAGAGGAGGGTTGTAG